GGTACACCATCTCAATATATTGAACTTTACGAGGAATGTTGGGATAAAGATCCTGCTAAGCGTCCAGAAACCAAATTAGTTCACAATATCTTAAAGCAAATTAATCCTAACGAAATTTTGAACCAATACCATCCTTCAAGTAAGTTATAAGACTACATAAGTGCATTCATCAAATTCAATTCACTCTAATTCACTCAAAATTACGTCATCTCTTCTCCTCTTTATTTGCCTGATACAAAATTTTAAATATTCAGTGCAAGACGATAATAATATTGAAAGTTTAAGAAAGGAAGCACGTGAATTTTTTGAGCAAGGCAAATTTCTCAAAGCGTTAGAACGTTTTGAAGAAATCTTTAAACACAGCCAGTATCCTGAAGATCAAAAAAGTGCTTCAACCTGGGATTTGTCTTTTAATAAATGTGGCATTCTAAAAATAAACAAGTTAATAAAGGCACTTTGCAAGAACTCCACGCTAACTTCTTTGAATCTTCGATCTAATGCGCTTGGACCAGAAGCAGCGATAGCATTAGCAGATGCACTTTGCAAGAACTCCACGCTAACTTCTTTGAATCTTTGCGATAATCAACTTGGAGCAGAAGGAGGAAAAGCATTAGCAGATGCACTTTGCAAGAACTCCACGCTAACTTCTTTGAATCTTTGCGATAATCAACTTGGAGCAGAAGGAGGAAAAGCATTAGCAGATGCACTTTGCAAGAACTCCACGCTAACTTTTTTGAATCTTAATTATAATCAACTTGGAGCAGAAGGAGGAAAAGCACTAGCAGATGCACTTTGCAAGAACTCCACGCTAAATTGTTTGAATCTTCTAACTAATGCACTTGGACCAGAAGCAGCGATATCATTAGCAGATGCACTTTGCAAGAACTCCACGCTAACTTCTTTGAATCTTTGTGATAATCAACTTGGAGCGGAAGGAGGAAAAGCATTAACTGTTGCACTTTGCAAGAACTCCACGCTAACTTCTTTGAATCTTTATGATAATAAACTTGGAACAGAAGAAGGAAAAGCATTAGCAGATGCGCTTTGCAAGAACTCCACCTTAACCTCTCTCGATATTGGTAATAATAACCTTGGAGCAGAAGGAGGAAAAGCACTAGCAGATGCACTTTGCAAGAACTCCACGCTAACTTCTTTGAATCTTTATGATAATAAAATTGGAGCAGAAGTCGGAAAAGCACTAGCATATGCACTTTGCAAGAACTCTACACTGACTTATTTGGATCTTCATTTTAATGAAATTGGAGCAGAAGGAGGAAAAGCATTAGCAGATGCACTTTGCAAGAACTTCACGCTAACTTCTTTGAATCTTTATGATAATAAAATTGGAGCAGAAGGAGGAAAAGCATTAGCTGATGCACTTTGCAAGAACTCCTTAATCTCTCTCGATATTGGTAATAATAACCTTGGAGCAGAAGGAGGAAAAGCATTAGCTGATGCACTTTGCAAAAACTCCACGCTAACTTCTTTGAATCTTCATTATAATGAAATCGGAGCAGGAGGAGAAAAAGCATTAGCTGATGCACTTTGCAAGAACTCCACCTTAATCTCTCTCGACATTAGTAATAATAACCTTGAAGCAGAAGGAGGAAAAGTATTAGTTGATGCACTTTGCAAGAACTCCACGCTAACTTTTTTGGATCTTGGTTATAATAACCTTGAAGCAGAAGGCGGAAAAGCATTAGCAGATGCACTTTGCAAGAACTTCACTCTAACTTCTTTGAACCTTTATGATAATAATCTTGGGTCAGAAGGAGGAAAAGCATTAGCTGATGCACTTAGTAAGAACTCCACCTTAATCTCTCTCGATATTAGTAATAATAACCTTGGAGCAGAAGGAGGGATTGCATTAGCAGATGCACTTTGCAAGAACTTTACGCTAACTTCTTTGAATCTTCAATATAACGAACTTGGTTCAAAAGGAGGAAAAGCATTAGCATATGCACTTTGTAAGATCACTACACTGAAAGAATTGAATCTTCGAAATAATAAGCTTGGAGCGGAAGGAGGAAAAGCATTAGCAGATGCACTTTGCAAGAACTTCACGCTAACTTCTTTGAATCTTTATAATAATAACCTTGGAGCAGAAGGAGGAAAAGCATTAGCAGATGCATTTTGCAAAAACTTCACACTGAAAGAATTAGATATTAGAAACAATAATATTGGTGTTACCATAAAATCTAATAATTCAAATCTTAAAATAAAACAAAATTAATATTATTAGAAAAAAATATAAAGGTCATTTAAGTCTGAATAAAGTAAACGTTTAATTAATTGTTGAGAGAGTAAGAAAGAGAGAATATATTAATATTAAATATTACAGCTTAATAACTAGTTTAATAAAAATAAACAAAATAAATTTTAATAAATAAAAGTTTACTTTTTGTACTATTTGTTAGCACAATTAAAAAATATTTTAAAAACCTAAATTAATATATATTTAAATAACTTTATATACAAAAATTTAATAAATATATAAATATAATTTGATACAATTTTTTTATTTAAAGTTTTTAATAAGTCGTTAATTTTTATTAGAGCTCCAATCTGAATAAATCCGCCATTCATTTATCCTTATTTGAATTTATCCGAATATTCACTTATTATTGATATTCAGATAATCTAGCAAATATTCAGATAATTATTCAAATATCAATAATAAAACGGATATCTGAATAAATTTAGATTCTGGATATTCGATAGATAAATGGATAAACGGATAATGGATCAGAACTCTACTTTTTCTAAACTTAATATATTATTATTAGTAAACTATTTATAACAACTTTTTTTTACAGATTCTTTAAATATCAAAAATATATGAAAGTATATTAGAAAAATATGCTTGAAATCTTAATAAAAAAGGCAAAGTATTAAAAGTTATATCTAGTTTATGATAAAAGGCAAAGGAAAAATACAAAGACAGCATAGAACAAAAAGCAATCCAGATTTTTAATAAAAATTTAAATTTTTTGAAAATTTCTATTATTTTTTTTCTGTAAATCTTACAGGTTATACAAAATAATGTACAAAACAAACAAAATAAACAAATGAACATTAATGATAAATTAGTTCAGTTTGGATAATAGAAAACACATAATATAGAAAATTTTAGAATAAAATAAAAACTAAATAACAATTGGTTATAAGCAAAAATATATATAAAATAAAAATTAATATGCTTATTAGAAAAAGTACTAGAAAGGTTATTACAAATTTTGCAGAAACTTAAAAATATAGAATTAGTTAAAATATTAAAGACAATAAAAATTATACAAATATTATAAAAACAAATAAATATATAGTACTATATTTATAACAAATATGATAAATATAATAATAAGAATATGTCAACTTAGTGAAGTAGATATATTGCTAACCTTTCAAGTAGTAGGTTGAATATTTAAATTTTATTAATAGTAAAAATTTAAATAATCATCTATATAATACTTGTATTATGATAACTGTTTTTAATAATTAGGTTAAGATATCTGTAATAACAGTTATACTAACATAACTAGCAGGTCATATAACATCTGTTTAGTATAAAATTATACAAAGAAATGCAAACTGATATTAAGTAGTGCAAACTCTAAATAAGTTCTTAAATCTGTTAAAATTAGAAAACAAGAAGTCTATTTAAGAAGACCTAAATAGAGAAGTAGTATGAATTTTTAACTGTGCTATTGTAAAGGTTAGACTTAAAAAACAGATATTAATATTAAAGTATCTGAATAAATAAGAAACTCTAAATAAAAATATTACTAACTTGACTACTAAAACAGATTAAAAAAAAAAATATCAGACCAATCTAATATATCAATAAACTGATTATAGTTTTACTAAACTATCTGAATTAGAAATTTGAAAAACAGATAGAGATATACTAAAGTACTGAAAATATGTTATAAAGTATAATGCAAATGGCTTTAAATCACCTATCATATGATTTTGTTTATTTTTGTTAGCAGATTATATAATATACTTATACTCAATTAAAATATAAAATTTAAAAAAAACTCTTTTCACTGATCTACATTTTTATAAGAAAGTGAAATCCAAATTATAAAGAAAGTGAAAAACTAGACTAAGAATAACATTTTGAACAACTAAGAAATAATTTCAAGAAGGAAAAAAGAAATAGACTTAGTTAGAACAACAACTGGAAAAAATAGAAGCACAACAGAAAATTTTTGGACTCTTGTAAAGTTGAGATGAAAATTTTGAAAAATTTGGAGATTTGACTTAGACCCTGAATAATAGTAAATAAACACGTGACATATATCAACAATTTTCGATAAACAAAGTACACAGAGCAAATACATCCTAATTAGAAAATATAAACTTATTAGCAAAATCAATAACAAATAAACTATAGGGGATTCTAAAAATAGTAAACATCAATAGAATAGTCTAGAAACAGATATACAAATCACAATGAAAATGCTCCATAATCAATTTTTAATTCAACATATGCAAGAAACAGGTGATATAATTCGTAGATATTTAAATAGTTGTAAGTTGAATCAAGTACTAAGAACAACTATGTACAAGAACCCAAGTGACATCAAAATTATAGCGAAAGGTTTAGCAATTAATAATCCAAAAAATATTACAACAAAAGACTTAACACTATATGGCCAAATACTTGAAGTGCTTAAAGTTAAAACAAAAGTAATGATAACTTTACTGAAAAAGTTTATTAAAGATTGGGTCAACAAAATAAGAATGGTAAATCTTAACCCAGCATCAGTTAAATATACAGTAGGTATAAGCAAATAGGAAATACAAAAAGAAGAAGGAAAAATGGAAGGAGTGGAAAAAAATCAAAATGAAAAAGAGAATCTCAACAATAATATACTCTCAAAGAAAAGACGTCAAGCAATTAATAATGAAATAGAATTGAATACAGATGTTAAAGTTATAACAAGCTAAATTAAAAAACTTAATATAGAACAGCAATACCAAGAAGCAGATACAAACTACTTTACAGAAATAAGAATAAAAGTTAGAAAAGAAAAGGTCAATAAAAACATATCAGTAGAACCAACAGAAATTGAACAAATGGAGTTAGAAGATCTTATATCATTGCCTACCTCTTCTTCCTCTTCATCTTCTACCTCATCTTCAGCCTCAATAGAACACAGTGATTGGTCTTCTAAATACAGAACATGTACAGAAAACAAGTCTTTCAAGAGCAATTTCCCTACCTATATACTATCTGGAGAAACAAAAGAAGAAAGAATCAAATACGTTTGATGGATTCTAGGAGAAACAAACATATAAGAACAATCAAAGAAGCTTTTAAAAAAGAAAATAATTGGATTGAAGTTGACTTTGACTGTGAGCACAGTAGAGATAAAGCAATTGAAAGAATTAGTAAGAAAGAAGAAGAATGACTTAAGCTCATTCCAGAGGAGAAAAAAATAAAAATAAAGAAAAAGACCAATTTAAGCAATCAAATGCTAAAGGAAAGCAACCTGAATATAAATTGAATAAAGAAAAAGATGAAGATAAAAATCTTCTTACTAAAAAAGAACTAGAAGAAACTTATGCCAACTATCTAACTATTTGGGACCTACTAGCAAATATAAATAGAACAGAATTAGATTTTATTTGCAGAAAAATCAAAAAGGCCAACATAGTTAGAATCAAAAGATCAAAGTACAAAGCATTGGCAGTAATCAAAACAGATAAATACAAAGATAAAGACATATCTTAGTTATTATCAATAGATGATAATAAACTAGTAAGAGTAATGAAAAGGGATGAAGATTACAAAGAAAGAAATCACCAAAGCCAATTTACAGCAAAGTTAACAGAACTCCCTGGAAGTGCATCAGAAGTACTTCTGCTATAATGTTTAAAAAACAAGAATGCAAAGTCTGTTTATATTCTATCAAATAGAAACGAGAATCAAAGAAGAACAGCAACAATCACCTTTGCAATGAAAAAGGAAATGAACTCAGCCCAAACCAAACCAATCAGATACAACAACTTCAGAGTTTATTGGGTAATAGATAAAAAGAGAGAAACAAAAAAGAGAGAAAGTTTAAAAACAGAAGAAATGAAGATATAGACGAATCTGGTCAAGACACTGATTCAGAAGATCATGAAAGTGTAGATTCTCAAGAAAGCAAAAAATATAAAAATAGAAGAAGGAACAGAAAAGATATAAATACAGAAAATCAAACACAAATGCAAGACCTTTTACAATGCATATTAACTAGGCTTG